AAACACTCTTCAACATTTCTGGACTTATCGTTATCCAAAGGCGAATGGTTCGAACTTGTACAACTTCTGTCGTTGCTTTGCACGATCCGCCAGTGTGTCTGCGTGTTTGGAATCCTCACACACGTCGTGCCGTACAGACCTGCAGACTTGTCGTCTGTCACGAGCCCTGACACTCCATTTAGCCCGTCTACCAGCCCGCTAAAACGCTAGGGGCGGTTCGGTCCCACCGGCCATATCGTACGCCGAGTAGCGCAATGGTAGCGACAAGCTGACATTTTGCTTTGTGGCTTCTATTACGAGTATAAAGGCTATTATGAAGTGTTCCTTTTCCGACACTCGTGCGAAAGATTGGAGAACATTACATCGATATGCGCCGCCGTCTGTTTCAAGATAGATTACCAGCAAAAGAATTCATATTTGCAATGTGAGAACATCTTAAATTTTATCATCAACAGTTAACATTACAGCGAAAATAAGCAGGGCGGTGTCGTGGTCAGAGTGTAAAATGATGGGAGGAAACTTGATGAGTGGATGTGTGTAAATCCTGTGCGCCAGTCCTTTTGTCGAGATCATGCCCATCAATTGATAAAAGACTAGGCCATTAAGAGCTTCATACACCTTCCATTTCCCATTCATCTCAGTTAAACGCTGCTCCTATCTCTGACGTTTCTATCCTCATGACTTGTTGAAGGCAGTCACGTTTTCCGGACGACTGTGGGAGTGACGACCTTGACAAGTCAGGCAAGAGGATAGGACGGCGGATGGCTCCGACAGTTAAGTGGCACAAGGGGACGGAAGGGATCGTCACATCCCGACACCGCCATATGCCGCCGTGGCGCTGTCCTGTGAAGAGTCGCGTTATGTCACGCTCCCGTCCTCCCCGCTTCACCCCACGTTTAGCACCCTGACACGGCCTGAACCCGGGGCACCGCGCGCATTTGCAAGGGAATGGGCCGGCCTGCAAATGGTCACACATCAATTATACTGATAGCTTTTGTTCCCTGGTGGTATTGGGTAAAGAAGAGGTCGGAACACGGAATTGCTCTTAATGCCCTGTTGCAACAGCACATTCAGAGGGAGCATGACCCGAGTTTTCCTATACAGCGGGGAAAATTGCCGGTGGAGTGACGTTAAGTAAAGCTTATGACTCTGCTCGCAGAGGAGTTATGACCCTATTACAGTGGTGCTCTGCACCTCATGAGCTTTCTAGTCATATTATTGAAGTATAGCTGTGATAAAGCCGCGCAAAAGTCGGGAATTTTGAAGTTCAAAATGGACACAAACTTTATCTTGGGTCGCGTTCTTTGCTGTGGAAATGTCAAGGAAGACTGTATGTGAATTAAACACACCGGAACCGCTGAAGTGGTCTATGAACCAAATTCCGCTGAATATTTATCTCTTTAGAAAGACATTTGTATCCATTTTTCCTTGTGGTCCCGAGATGATTGGAAGTGCGTCAAACAGTCTGGCGTCCGGTAGAAAGTTTCTCGGTAAAGCGCCGAAACGTAAGAGCTATCGCCCCCAGGTTAGCAGCAGCGGCGTTTGATATTCAATCCCAATTAATTCATTCACCAGGAGATTACGAGGGGTGTTCAAAAAGTTCTCGGCCCAACCTAGAAAATAAAGGTCAAACTACTATTCTTTAATATAGCTGTATACTATGACGTCTTACATCACTGCACACAAAAATTCAAATTTTTAAATTCATTAATTAGCACGTGACGCCTCGTGAAAATGGGGTGGGTGAGGGCAAAATCACAAAATGGCCGCAACAGCACCGTGTGCTGTGATCAAGTGTATCGATAAAAAGGGATGTCTCCCAAGGAAATCCAGGAAGACATGGTCAAGACACTTGGTGATGACTCCCCTTCTTATTAAACTATAAAGAAGTGGGTTGCTAGCTACAAGCGCGGCAAGGAGAGCACAAAAGATGAACATAGGTCAGGATGCCACAAATCAGCACCACGGACAATCCAGTTGAGGCCATCAATCACATGGTAGTGAATGGCAGATGTGAGACTGTCCAACATGTAGCAGAGTCTTTGGCCTTTGTTTTGGCTCAGTTCACAATGTTTTGTCGAACATCCTGGGGATGAACAAACTGTCTGCATGGTGGGTGCCTCGAATGTTTTCTGAACATCAGAAGTTAAACAGGCGGGACATTTCAAGGAACGAATTCAGTCCAATGCATGCAATTTTCTCAAAACATTTATAACCCAAGATGAGCTGGGTTCACCACTATCACCCCGAATCAAATCAGCAGAGCAAACAATGGATGAAGAATTTTTCCCGGCCCCCCAAAGAAGTTTTAGTGACTTTCGTCCGTTTACAGGGTTTTT